TCAGGAATCAAGTACATCCCCAGCACCAGTCCCCAAACCTCGCTCTCAAATAAAAACCTCTGATTCGTATAAAAATCTAACTGTTTTGGATGATTCGGCCAATGAACCGAAAACATCTCAGCTCGCTCAACAAACTGACAGCGTCAGTTTGCGTAGCTTCGACTTTACCGAAGAGACATCACACATGGATGATACGTCGGCGTCACAGAACCTAGATAATATCATTACCACTTCAGCCACCACCAACACCACATCTGACGATCCGGTCACAGAATCCAATGATATGACCAGTGACTTGTCTATTGATGGCAGTGTCATCGGTGGTGGTGATCGCAAGACAAGCTTCTATATTGGAGAATCCAGTCAGAACATTATCATAAAAACTACACCCACCAAACTCAGTGCAGTCGATGATGACCAGGAAGATCCCTTCGGTGCACAAGCCATAGGAGAACAAGCCATTGCCGCGACAGACATTTCACTAATGAAGGAAATGTCGGTTGACTCCGAAGAAGATAATGACGTTTTTAAAGAGTACGTCACGATTAAGACCACTGAACCTGCCGCAAGGATACGACGCCAGAGCTCGGAGACCAGAAACGATTTGTTGGAAGAAGACGTTCTCCCCAAAGAGGAAACGGAAGGTACTAGTGCTGATGTGGCAGCATTACCTTCCGATTCGATCGATGTAGATTCCAAAAAGGTACAGATACCGTCGGCAGATTTGACGAACATTGAAGATGTCCACAAACCCAAAGAAGATGACACAGTTTGTGATATGTCCATCGGTTCGGAGGAGGTTAGCGTCGAAAGGCCAACAGATTTGGATTTGTCATTGGAAAAAAGCGAGTGGGAAACGACGGAAAAAGAAATTCCCCCACCAGGAAAGAGTAAAGTCGAGCATTCGCCTCAACAGCCGACACAATCGGTTCTAACGAAGGAATCCATTACGGAGGAGTTGGTAGCCAAAACCCTTGACGAAGTCCAACAATCTTTAGAAGCTGCCAAAAATGAATTAAAATCTGTTTTGAAAGACGGCAAATCGATTAAGGAATCGCCTTCTGAGTTCGAATTCCGATCATTTTCACAAACCATTTCTAGCGGAGCTGTCGTAGATGTCGCAGCTGAAAGTCTAAAATCCGATAAAATTATCGAGGAAAGTATTGAACTGGTGGAGACGGAGGATATTTCCTCGTTTATAGGAGTACCAGATAAAATTATCGAGGAACTGGTGGAGACGGAGGATATTTCCTCGTTTATAGGAGTACCAGAGAGTGTACAGATGCAGCGGGAGCCACAGCAGCAACACGAAATTGAAGGTCTATTTGAAAGCAGCATACCCGAATCACTGGACAGAGCAGCTGCCATGATGCACTATGCACAAGTCCATGACGCGGAAGGTAAATCCGATGTCGACAAAGACGACCGTGCTTCACTCGGTTTCATATCAACTGGAACGGATGACGATGTCGACGATACAGTTCCAAAACAGGAACACGCATCTTTAGGTTTCGTTTCCAATGAAACAGTGGAGGAATTCAGCTCCATGGAAGACTATTTTCAAGAGAAATTAGCAAAGGCTGACGTGATTGAAAGCCCAGCGGAAACCTCGCAACATATTGCACATACGGTTACGTCTTTCGAAGAAATATCTTCGGAGCGTACAATGAAGCCCTTCGACGATGTCGTACATCGGGTCAAACCAGAGGGCGCTGATACATCGCAAAATCGATGGTCTGTGCCCGAGGTCGAACAGTCGAGCTCCAGCGAAAGTTATTACAAGAGCTTTGAGAAGAGCGAAAGTCGACCCTTGTCGTCCGATGTGGACAATTTAGTCACTCAAGGTACGTCCGAGTATAAAACGGCGGCCGAAGGCTCTTCAACATATCGTGAGACAACCGAGTATATGAGTGCCGCCAGCACACTGGACAGTTTGTCCGGAAAAACAATTAGCTCTCACGAAAGTATGAGAAGTTTTGATTCACATTCGGAGACCTCGGCTAATTTGATCAGCATGGACAGTTCTGAGTTGACGGAGACACTAGTCGCGTCATCAACCGATGAAGCAGACGAAATAGAACATTTGCGCGACTTGCTGGATGAGGAGGATAGCGAGGAGAGCTTAGATTTAGAAGCAACTGGTTATGCGGTACAAGAAAGCGCAATGCAGCAGCAGTCAATGATGAAAAGATCCCAAGAAATGATATTCAAACCCAAATCAGACGATTCGACCATCACCGCAGAAGAACAACATGTAAAGGAAATTCAACGTGAAACCGGGTCAACCTCAACGGACCAGTCTAAGCCAAAGGAAGCTGAGAAGACATGGGGTTTGTCCTACCCCCTGGACGACAGCAAATCCGACGACATTAAGGACACAGATGATATTCTTTTGTATCACGGCGATGCCAGAAAATCTGTGGATGAGTCAAAATACGCATCCAGCTTGGACGAAGGAAGTATTCTCTCAGTTAGTATGTCAAGCACATCTAACATTGACACTGTCGTCGAAAATTTTGAAGACATCGTTGGCTCTTTTGGCGCTTCGTCGTTGGCGGGTATTGAGGGATTCGGAGGTTCTTCGTTGCCGGACGAAACGACATTTGTTATGGAAATGGATGGTAGCGGTGACCATTCCCCTCAGGAATCCAGTGCAACAACACCACCAGATGCTAGCCATGCTAAACGTGGCCACAAGCGTACGGAGAGTAAAGTAGAATCATCAGAGGAGTCCCAATCAATACCGGACAAGGACACTCCTGCAATTGTGGGTGAAGGCAAAGAATCGGGCAGTGAGTCTGACACAGATCCATACGAGACAGAATATGCACGTCAGTTCCGCTCACCAACCGACCGCAAAAATAACAAGAAAAAGAAGCAAGCAGCAGCTGAAATGGATCATAGCTTCGAAACAGAGAAGCGTCCATTCACTCCCTCTCAACTTGTGGCAGAGGTAATTGTTGAGGACGTGGCTACCGAAGAGCTTGAGGCGGAAGCATCCATGATAGAAGACCGCCGACCATCGCAGAACATGTTAGACTATTCCAATATCCCTGATATTACAGTTACAGAGGACGTCCAACAGAAATCTCCGATTTTGGAGGAAGAAGAAGAACAGGCTGATAAATTCGAAGAAAAAATTCTGTACAAAGTTAAGACTCAGGAAGAACTTCATAAAGTAACCGATGACAAGCCTATCTATCAGGAGCAGCCTCGTGCTGACCTCAAGGAAGAAAACTTCCAAAAACTGGTCCAAGAGCAGTACAAACAAAAGCTAGCTGAGCTGCAGAAGGCCGACATTGGTGATTCGGATTATGACGAAAACAAGGCTCCCGATTCACCGGATTCGTTCGAAATGGTGGATCAACCAGACATTTCCGATGATTTTGTCATAATTGAGGAGGTGGCCAAGGAGGCAAATGAAGATGATTTGGGCGGCAAGAGCATACGCATTAAACCCACCAAATACGAACCCAAGCATGATGAAGAAGTTGAAAAAATCATTATCAAATCGGCTCCAGCCGATCCCATGTTGGGCTCCCAAATATTCCGCGACGATCTGAATTTCGAATTTGAAGAAAGTCCGCCTACTGCCAGTAGCGGAGGTACAGGAAGTGAAGTTCAGGAAGAGAGTGATTCCGGCTCAGATATGGCAGCTACAAATAAACGATGGGTTGAAATGCAGTTGACCGATAACCAGCTACGTTACCCCTACGAGTTAACGGGCGGAGTCTTGGAAGACATCAAGGAGGAAGATGGCGAGTTTGAAGTAGGAAGTAGTCGTATTAGTAGCTTCAAGGACTCCTTCTCAAGTACGCCAGAATACGACGTACTCGCTGCCCGCCGTTATTATGGTCGTGGCGAACACGATGATATATCCATGAGTAGTCTTCAGGAATTTGAATCGCTGGAGCAAGCAATCTCCCTAGAAAATCGTAATCGAACACACCAAGGATCGACCGATTCCAGTAATGGCAGTTTCCAAAGGCGCTATCTGGTACGTCATAGCGCGAGCGGAACTGCACCAGGAGATGATATTTCCATTTCTAGCCTTAAGGAATTTGAAGGATTGGAGAACGCTTGTATCGAGGCCCACTTAATTGAGATCAAGGCAAAGGAAGAAGCAGCGTTGCTCTCTCGTTCTGACGAATCGAATAAATCGAATGGCAGTGATCGGGAGCAAGGAGTGGAATCCAGCAACGTCGTCGTTTCGAAAGTCACACGAACCGTTACGCACACAGAAGTTTTAACGGGGCAAAGTTCCCCGGGCATAGAAGCGCTGCTCAAACAGAAACTTCAAGAATGCGAACAAGGTCAAAGTGGCGCCCGTTTGACACAACAACAAGTCCTGGACATGAAATTAAAAGGTGATTCCGATAGGGGAAGCATCGAAAGTCTAGAAATGAACAAAAGCATTGAAATGGGATCTAGCAGTGCCGATGACAGTTATGACATTTCAAAGGATGCCACACGATCGGACATTGATTCGTTGGAAGTGGACAAGCCGCAGTTGACGCGAGAAGAAAGCATTGAATCTGCCGATATGCAGCAAATCGATGATTTGATGTCCAAATTCGGTGCAACGATAGGAGAAGGTTTGACCACAACTACCACCACAACGACGACCAGTACAGACGCGGACGGTCATGAACATACCACGGTGACAAGGCGAGTGATTACAACAACGACGACAACAATGGGCGGCAGCGGTCCCAGTTCAACGTCTCTCGACCAGCAGATGGCTCAGTCAATGGTCAAAGATATTTCGATTGATTCGTTGAATCAGATGAGTGCCGTGGAACAATGCACCACCACAAGTTCGGCTGGAACCACAGCCACGTACCAGACGAGTGCAGGCAATTCACAAATGTCTGGTAGTATTACAAGTTGTGCATCCAGTACCCTCATGGAAGATTCGACAAATAGTATTGCAGCGCTAAACATAACCTCAGCATCTACGACAACCACAACAACAACAACCGATCCCCATCCGTCATCATCACACGATTCCGCACACAAAAAGGACGAAGCCAAGCGCTAAGAAGGATCGGCGGCTTTCGACAATTATTTGATTATGCAAATAATTTGTTTTCGTTTTTTGTACTTTGAAAAACTCTATTAGGTAAGATGGTCTCCTTTAATTTGTATTTTACTGTTACACCCTATGTATGAAGCTTGAACCCTGCTCTTGCAAAATCCATTCATGTCATTCCCCTCTATTTCATTCTATTGCAATGCATTCATGTATTACATTAGCTGTCACCTGCAAAAGTACAACAAACAAACACAAAAAATAAAAAAAAAAAAAACAAAAAATAAAAATTATTTTCGTTTTAACTAGCAAAGAACCCCAACCCCTTTCTAGGGAAACAACAACAATATAAGAAAACTTATCGTGGTCTTAGCAAACCTCGAATATGTATGTTTCTATGTTGCAAAATATTGAAGCGCAATACATTGCGGAATTGGTATATTGGAATCGATTTTACAAACTGATTTATACGTGAAAGGGCGCGACATGAAACACTTTTCGAGTGGTGATACATTTATTGCACACTTTTGGGTGTTATAACTAAAATCTCGCTGCATAAAAGAGAGCTCTAAATTTTGTTACCTCCCGATTTCAAAAATATGTATGACAACCATTGTGTTAAAATTGTCGGAACTTTACCAATTTTTCCAACTTTCCATGCCTTCACATAAAGATTAACTGGAACTCAACGTTCAGGACGACCATTTGAAATCAATACACCTGGAAATGTAAAAAAAATCACATATCTCGTATTGACTCATTACAATGTATTGAGCTAAGGAAAAGATAATGTCGAAATATGTACAAAAAATCATTTATGGATTTGTTCTCATACTCCTCATTATATAACGATCGGACTTTGTATCTAATTGATGGATTTGTCGATTTTCATAACACAAAATGTACTGCTACTCCGTACCGAATTTCGATGTGCAATTTTGTTTTGTAGTCTAAATACCAAAGTCAAATAGAAGCAATTGATAATAACTTAAAATGTAAATAAAAATTTCCAAAATTCATTTCACATTGTTGTAGATCCAGTTTTAAATCTAAGTTGCAATGGTACTTCCACACTTGTTTCTAAGCAAATAATCTAACAAATATTAATTAGTTCAATTCTGGATCGACTTGAAAACGCAATTATTTTGTAGGTTCGGATACATACATACATATGTAGAAGTTTCAAATGGTTACTTTATACAAATTTCTAATCCATTTCATTTTTCTTTTCTCTCTTTTTAGAATTCAAACATTAGACAATTTTTATGCCGGCTCGATGTTCTAATAGCGTAATGGAGTAGTGATGGTGGTGTCCGATGTCACAAATGTTTTCAACATAGCTGGAAACATCCTCAAAGGGTCTATCATCATCGGAAGGCAAAGATGTGTTGTCGTTGGACGGCAATAACAAATCAACTACACACACTCACAACCAACTTTTCATTACAGAATAGATAATCCAATTAATCGCAATTATGACAGTATTCTCTACGCCTTTGGAAAACTTGGTTCGTTCGTCGTTCATCCGATTTGTAAAACAAAATGCTTTTCTGAAATGGCATCACTTGATGCATTTTATTCGAATTGCCATAATCCACAAATTTACTCATCTCTAGCTTTAGATATTTTGTAAAAAACAGGAACCACTAAAGGTTCCCTCAATCGTATTGTGCAGTCGTCATCGATTACAAATAAAAACCAAAACGACATCATAAATATGTCACATAAATACCACAGATACGAATCAGATATTACGAGTATATCTGATTCGTAGAGAGTTTTTAACATAACTAATTATTTTCATTTTTTTACCGAAACAATAATCACAACAAAAATGCTAAATGGCTTAGAAAATTCGCTTGGAAATGATTACAAATAATCAGGAACACTATCTACTATATACGGCCGATTAGGCCACACATACATACACTCACTGTGTCCTTTAGTGGGCATCGACTATGGAGACGCAGGCAAATTAGGAAAGGAAAGGAAACGGAAACGTTACGTGTTCGTGGACATGTTTGACTTGAAACTTCTTCTCACAGGCACATTCTAATAAATTATTTAAAAAAAAAAAAACAAAACAACAATTTAATAAGAAAACTCTTACATTATTATTGATATTCTAATAATGAAATAAATTGACAAAACAAAATGATAAATAAATAAATAAAAACAAAACATTCCATTTTTATTAGATGTACTATTTAATTATATTTGAAATTATATAAGACATTACAACTCATACACTAACATTATATAAAACCAGAATCAGAAGAACAACAACAAATTAAATGTAATGCTAGACACGCATCTATAATTAACCAAATAAATGCTTGAAAGAAATATAAAAATATTAAAAAAAATGGTTGTTTTGATTTCAATGCAGTGCCCATGCATACATAACCTCATAATTAAGAACAAAAATCGGTGGGTACAAACTTGTTAATATTATCAAATCACATTGAATATAAAGTAAAGTAAGTAAAGCTGTAAGATTTTCATTAATGGAGATATTTTTATCAAATTATTCTTGAGGTGATTTCACCCACAATTAAAGAAAAAAATAGAGATATTTGCCATATATGTATATAATTTGTATAAATTTTTAAAGTTATTACCTACTTAGATCAATAACCGTGTACATTTGTACCCATCCAAAGTTAGTGCTGTATTTCATTGAAATATTGGACTATCGTGTGGTTTTTCGTTTTAAATCAGTCGATACGCATCTGATGTAGATGCATAAATTCAAAATTATATTTACATTAGAAGAATTTAAAACCCATGTTTAAATGATAATCTTTCGTTATAGCTTTCGAATTTGTATAGTTTTTGTTTTAATTATTTTTATTGGGATTTTATTTAGGTGTTACCCAGCACCTCTGCAAATTTTTGTAGTCATAGACAACATGGGACCATCAGGGCGACTCGTAGAAGTCAGAAACTGCCTTGGTTTTCCTTTGGATAACCATTGAACGATCCCGATTGAACAATCGGGAATTGGCCGATTCCCGATTCCTGGTAAATAAAAACTTCTTTCGAGACATTTATATACAGTATCGGAGAAGGCCTAAGCACTCCCCAAGTACATTTTTGTAAAATAACCCCAGTAAGGAAAGTAGTAAAGTCGGACGGGGCCGACTATATGATACCCTTCACCACTATGGGTATATAAAACACGACTATTAACACGTGATTGGATGAACTAAAATATATGATATTTATCTAAATGTGAATCGACTTGTCATGTCATTCGTTTGTTACAATGGAACAAAGGTATTTAAATCGACTTCAAACAAATATCACTAGGACATTCTTTGGGCTATGTATGTATTTCTAGAACTACGTAACTACGTTATTCTATGCTCAATTTGGATGTTGTGCAAAATTGCACGTCAATCTGACAAACATGAGGATTTTGATGCACCATTTACTTGAAATCGGACGAAAATATAAATGGAACCTATATCCACATATGAACCGATTTCAATGAAAAAGGTTTATACTAATTCCAGTACGTTTTGTTCCTATCAGCCATATATTGGTTCATTGGTGCGTCAATTACTTAAAATTAATCGATAATATATAAGGGAGCTATATCTAAATCTCAACCGATTTTTACGAAACTTGATACACATCATTCTGGACTAAATTCAGTACGATATGCAATATAAGAACATTGGTAAAGTATTATATTAAATATATATGGGAAATTACAAAATTCTTTTAAAATTCCATTACAAAAATTTGAAAAATTTTTTTGCGAGCACATTTATGATTTTTGGTACATAGGTTAAGAAAAATATGCTGATTCGAAATCTGTTCGCGTTCACAAATTCGGATGCTGCGCACACAAGTTATAGCGGTTTTAAATCTTGTATTTTAAATATAAATTAAATGAATTCCTATTTGTTGTAATTCGCGAATTTCTTCACAAATGGTTAAACACCATTGTTTTCTTTGCATACTAGTCAAATCACATTGAAATACGGTCGCGAAAAACAAATAGAGGCATGAAGATATCGGAAAATAAAATAAATTAATTTTTGAATTAAAACAAAAAATTTTTTTGAATTTTCGATTTTTTAGTATTGTTAAGAGGATACGGTTTTGCCTTAATCTTCTAAAATATACAACGCTTTCTTCTACAAATTCTTTTAGATTATAGTTAAATATCGGTAGATTCATCTAATAAGAGTTTCGACGTTAAAAATAGCTAAATATATTGCACATAAAAATAATAAAAATTGTCAATATTGAAAAGCATGCAATTCGCGTGTTCGTGGAAATCAGTGGTTGCTCATGCGGTTTTCGTATAAACCGAATCAATGTCTTTCAATAATTATTAATTTGTCGATGTTTAATTTAGCGGTGAAAGTGTGCCGCTCGATGCACTTTACTATGCAAAAACCCTAAAAATGTCTAAAAACCACGCAACGTGCATACGATTTTTATGCGTATCCGATTTCAGTAATCTCCTATGAAAATACACAAAAGGACACCTATTTTAAAAGGATCGATTTTTGATAAAATACGCATATTATTCGCGTATCGATATATTTTTGACCTATTTTCACACAGATTCGCGAATATGATAACACAAGAATGAATGTATGTGAAATCAATTCGAAGGAATCCGCGATTGTATACGCGAATTTGTCAAAATAAGTTTTGGCAGTTTTTCCCACATTCAAGGTACCTTTATCCGCCGTTTTATTGGGCGGAATTGAACATGGATTGGCTCATTAGATCCGGCACGTAAAAAAACTAAAATCACGCGGGGTTTCACGGAATTTGAATGGACCATCTTAAATTAGGACTCAAAAAGTAGGTTTTTTATAAAAATTTACGCACAAAATTATCGTCTTTTGAATCCAATTGCAAAGAAGCTACGGTGAGCACATTCATGAGATATACATCAAACGACGCAAAATCACGAGTTCTACAATCCTATAATTAGTTTAGTCCATTATCTGCATGCGCATCCTAATTATAAGAAAAATTCAAAAAACACCGAAAATCCAGCTTTAAAAATGTCAGCATCCTTTTTGGGTGGATGCATTGATTATATCGAAAAATCATACATTACAATCATATTGCCCATGGGGTATTCTGTAACTTAGTCACTGATCACATGTGCGTGCGTTGTGTAGTTTAGCCACAAATCAGGAACGAACGCAAAAAAACTCGTTGGCAGTTTTTTTACATTAACACACAGCTTCCACCAAACTTATTATTTATTACCAATATTTTTAGATTTTGACAAGAACAATTCATTTTATAGAAATGAATTTAAATTACATGCAATATGTTCATATTTCGCGAGTTATAACCTTGCAAACCTCAGTTTCAAGGAATTTAAAAGATTTTTGTAATTTCCCATATATATATATATATAGATCTGAACCGATTTTCACGAAACTCAGCACACATCATTCCAGACCCAATTCAGTACGTTATGCCAAATTTCTTGCAAATCGAAAGATATATAGGGACTTTGGTGCACCATTTGCATAAAATCGGACGAAACTATATATGGGAGCTATATCTACATCTTAACCGATTTTCACGAAAATTGGGAGACATCACTCTAGGCTCAATTCAGTACGTAATGCCAAATTTCGTGCAAATCGAAAGACTTTGGTACACCATGGGCATAAATTTGCATAAAATCTGGACCGATTTTAACGAAACTTGGCAGCCATTACATTAGGCTCAATTCAGTACGTTATGCCAAATTTCTTGCAAATCGAAAGATATATAGAGACTTTGGTGCACCATTTGCATAAAATCGGACGAAACTATATATGGGAGCTATATCTAAATCTGGACTTTGGTGCACCATTTGCTTAAAATCGGACGAAACTGTATATGGGAGCTATATCTAAATCTGGACCGATTTTGACGAAAATTGGCAGACATCAATATTAGGCTCAATTAAGTACGTTATGCCAAATTTCGTGCAGATCGAAAGATATATAGGGACTTTGGTGCACCATTTGCATAAAATCGGACGAAACTATATATGGGAGACGGACGGACGGACATGCATAAATCGACTTAGAAAGTGATTCTATGCATATTCTCAAAAGGAACCATGTGTCTATCTCGTTTCCTTTTGCCTGTTACAAACATATGCACAAAGACATAATACCCTGTACCACAGTGTGGTGAAGGGAATAAAAACATTCTTTTTAGATCAAAGTTTTGATATAGCTCTTACATAAAGATCGCGTATCACTTTCGGTGCTATAAAGACTTTGGCCGAATTTTCTCAAAGAGTTGGTTAAAATTTGACATAACAGATTGCTGTGAATAAAAAACTTATTACTAAATTAAAATATAACTTTTTAAAAAGACACCATGCATATTTCCTGTT